GCAATGCACTTCCAGGTCCTGGGTGACGGTGTAAAGTTCAACCAAGGATGGCTCTGTTTAGCTGTGCTAGGGGCTTGTAATCCCAGTGGGTCAAAATATTTAGAGTTTAAGAGGTTACAGGCTTTTCTGAGGGAGTATTTAAACTCCATCTGTCAAACCACTCGCATAGAAGAAATTTATGGATTCTGCCAGCAGTACATTAAATTATTGTTTTCTTGTGTTTAATTTAGTAGCATGCATTGTTTTCATGTTGCCCTAAGAGAATAATTAATCTGTGGCAAATGTATGCCTATAAAAATTAGAAATACTAGATTTAAAAAACCAACAACAGTAAAGAAATTCAAGGAGACGCATGCTGACGAGAGCCACATCAAGACGGCTCTTGGCAAAGCCGTTGGAATGCCTTAGGGGCCTGATCTTTTCAGAAAGCCGCCTAAGGGACTTGAAACCTGCTTCATATTAAGTTTAATTGTGCACAAAAAACCCCCACTTGCAGACTTTGCACATTAAAAGGAGAATAAAAAAAACCAGGCAGAGCTTTTTTCTCAGGATCTAAACAACAAGTTTGAAAATGAGGAAGTTTGATATTGCAATTTTCCAGGAAACCTCAATGTCGCTCGCTGACGCTATTGTTCTGTGCTTCAGTATATAATACAGACGCAAGTCTGATAAATTAAGGGCTTCACAGATTGTTTTCTTTCCATTTACAGGAGAAAAAGCAATGCAGGAACACAAGTGACATCTGGTCCAAGACTGAGACCACTTCAGTCTCTCTAGTTGCTTTGAAGAAGGTGAACCTACTGCCAGTGTTTGACAAGGGTGAGGTATAAGTAAGGCCAGAGTTGAAGCAATGTCATGTCTAGGACACGACAAGCGTTGCTCAAACGCTCGTCATTGAAGTACCCACGCCAAGACGGCTTTTCTGCTCCCTACCTTTTTGATAAAGCAAGTATTTCCGTTGACTGCACGTAGGTCTATTACAAAGAAACCGAGAACGAAGACGGCACCGGAGGGGGTGGGATAAACCTTACTGGAGCAAGTTCTTCTGTGAACAAAGCAGTGCTGAAGCTCAGGTTCCTCCAGGCTCAACTCGCTGACCTTGACGTTCCCTGCTGTAACAACGCACGGCCGCTCCCATCTGCAAAATACTCTGCATCTACTAAAATACTTGATGCCATTTCCCCATCTCCAACCCTTTCTCCCTCCTCCCGGGGACATCTCCCACATCTCCACCCGTCCCCACTGCCAGCGCCGCATCTTCCCCCATGTCCCCAGCCATCCCAGTGCCACAGCAAGGCTTGGCTGGGTTTTACGTGTGCCGAGTGACTGCTGCCTAACGGGGTGAACAGCAGCCGCGTTTCCCGGCACTAAAAGAGGGTCTGTCCCTGCCCTTGGTGACTGCTGCCCTTCAGCAAAAGGGGATGAAACTGGGCAGTGGACTGAAAAGTGACTGCGGACGTGGAGCAAGCCCCTCAGGGCAGGTCGTGCATAGGTAAGTCTCACTCAGAACATTCAATGTGAGCAAAACAGCTTAAAAAAAACCAACAAACAACCAAGCAACTTTCGCTACAAGCAAATTTTCTCAAGCAGATAATTGGAAACATTGGGGGGAAAACGTGGGATGGCTAGTTTGGGGGTTTCAGGTTTTGATGCTGGAAGAGGAACAACCACCCGGCTTCAATATCAAGAAGTGTAATAGTACTAACCTTGGCACTTACGTTCTTGGTTAACAGCTAAATAAATTAGACACGCTCCTAGGACTTTCACCAATCATATCAAAGGAAAATGTTTACTGGGGTGATAAACAACCGACCCTGATGTGTCCCATCAGGTAGGGCTGGCCACAAGAGAAGAGGGAGAAGAAAAAATCACAGAGTCACAGAACTGTTGAAATTGTAGAGGACCTCTGGAAGTGCTCCGAAATGCCTAAATAGTACAACTAAAACTGAACGCAACACAAATATTTGGCTGAATCAATCTCAGGACTGTTGCTTCCCAAACGCACAGCAGTGCACGCGATCCCGTGTGCTATTTATTTTGGTAGCAAGACGGGTGCTGATGTGGTTACTGCAGGAGGAGTGAGCAGGGTAAAAGGTTTATCCTGGATTAATGCTAAGTAGAAGAGCAGTACACCCTTCAGCTCTGGGCTGTACCTTGTGGGGACTAGCAAATGCAAGGCGGCAGACAAAAGCCAGAGAAGTCTGAAACCTGTTTGTGGAGAGCTTCACCACGTTATCAGCAGTTTCCAGAGTCTTTGTCTGCCTGCCTCTCTAAGCCCCTTCCCACCCACACACATTCCTTTCCAGCAATGCTGCTTTACTTGGCTTATCATTATCTTTTCATTAAACCCATTTAATTGGTGCATTTAACTCTTTATGTCCCTTAATAGTCCTTCTGATATCACTTGTTTACTGAAAAAGCAGTCATAGCCTTAAGTATTACATTTCCAAATAGCATCTAAATTGAGAAAGGTCTTGACAGTGCCCGTGTTGGACTGCTAGCGCCATTACCTCACATCCACTTCATCAAACACTAGGCACGATAAGGCAAGCTGGACTGCACGAGCTGCGAAACTCTCCGAGTCAAAGTCTGCGCACAACCGGGGTATTTCCAGAAACCCAGGCTAGTTTTTTATAAGCTCCTTTAAGACAATGAAGCTGCATCCCCCTGCGATGAACTTACCCTGCTTTTACTGGGTCCGTGGCAGATCAGAGGGGATCCTCTCTGCGCTGCTCAAAGCGTGGTTAGCTTAGTTCACCATGCACACTATACCTGGTCTAAGTTTCCATAGTCTGATCTATCAGGAAACTAAGGAAGAAAATCCCAAGTGGAAGAGGTGTGAGCAAAACCCCTAATGCCAATATAATTATGTCAGGAAGAAGAGAAAAAAAAACCCAACAAAAAAACCCCCAAAACCTGTTCCTTTGGCAATTTAGTTTTATTTGGGGAACTGCTGCAAGCTTTACACACACACAAATATGCACCAACCTCAGGGTACCATCAGCTACATCCACACTGGGAACTTCATCGGTATAACCTCCACCCAACTTTTAAGAGCGTAGCCAAAGTCTGCGAGACGCTGCCAAAGGCAGCACGCAGCTTCCATATGAACCGGGAGGCTTTCTCCTTCTTGGTGAGTGTTTTTGTTGGGGGACTGGGGATGGAGGACGTTGGCTTTTAAGGGGTTTTGCTCCACATTACTACTGAAAAAATACTAGGAGAGTGAGCCGGTAACGCACCCTTCACTGCGGGTGTAGCAGCCTGGGTAAAGCTGAGCCCGGTACCCACGTGTCAAGTCATCAGCAGAAGTGCCAAAGGCTAGCCCAGTAAAAAGCTGGACTGGGCAAGGGTATAACCACCTCCATATCCTCTGCCGGTGGTTCTGTCGGTCTGACCAACTGCACAGCACTACTAACTGCTAGCTAGCAGAAACCTGTCACAGAGATATAACCGAAAAGTAAAGGCTTTGCTTTATTCTCAAACCTGTTTGTAACTTCTGGATGGAAATGGTATTGCCCCTCTAAACACTGGGTGTGGGAGGGAAATCTGGAAAAAACCAAACCAAAACAAAAAAACAGCAAAAACTCCTGTAATGCCACATGTACTTAATCCAGAAGAGTGTTTTTCTGTGATGCCACACTCTCGGGAGCAGGGCACGGAGCAGGGCGTCTCCCGAGAGGCTTTGGCAGAGAAGAGGCTGCACGGCCTTCCCCTGCTGACAGTGGCGAGGCCCCGCTTCAGCGGGTGAGAACAGCACGCTTCTGACATGGTAACAATGCGGGTTAAATTCCTAGCATGAACTGGGCGAGTTGTAGTTTTAACACGTTAACATGTTCTACCAGGGGAAAAACTGAAGTATTTTTAGCATGGCCTGAGTGTTTGTCTCTGCACTGCTCTGGCCTTTTTTGGAATTTTAAACTCTGGAAACAAACGAAATACCCTTTGCAATACTGGAACACCACCTATTTTCTTTTATTGTTTGCCACAAAGACGACTGCGAATTGTACTTCTGAAGACATTAAAGGAGACACATAAATCAGTTACTTTTGACACAGCTCTCCCCCTTCACAACATCAGACAGTTCATTTACTGTTCCCCTAATTCCTGCCCACGCCCCCCAGCCTTTCCTACTTACATGCTTAGCTCTGATGAAATCTCAGTGGAGAAAACATTTTTCTTCATTACAAAATTCAGTCCCGAGTTGTCGCTTGAAGGTGTTGCCCCTTGCTCTCGTGTGAGTGCAGTAAGAGGGGTCAACGAAATACACTTGCAAACTTCACCACATGCAACTGCCCTCTAGTCCTGCCCTCACACAGCCGCTCACTCTGATTTCCAAGACGTGTCGGGGAGAAGCATCCGACGACAGGACGTTTGGTTTTATCGTGCTAAAAACCCCCAGCTGCATTACGCCCTCCACCACGCTGTAGGCAGAGCCCACCAAGTCAGGGTTAAGTTTAAGAAGGAGATGGAGTTTAAGCACAAATGTAACAAGAACTGATGCAAGGCGAGCCTGAGGACTGAAAGGGGAATAACACGCAGCAAAGGAGGGATTCTCCCCGTCTCCTATTTTCTATCCCATTTCAAATAATCTCCCCTTCCTCCTCCCCTCTGCCTGGCACTAGGATAAGCATGCAACACAGCCGTGAGGAACAGAGGTCTGACAGCCCACGCTGCACACAGCTGCAGTCAGCGTGCCCAGGGACTGGCAATGACCGGGCCACACACACGAGTCACCCGGGGAAACGAGACTCTAGAAAGGATTAATGGTGAGAGAGGCTCCTGTGGCTGGAAAAAAAAAAAAAAAAGCTGTGGCTAAAAAAAAAAAAAAAAAAAAAAAGAGAGACTGTGGTTGATCATCTGCTCCCAGCTGAAGGGAGAGGAGAACAAGCCTTTTGTTTGTCTCAGTTCTTCTCTTCGTCCTCTTCAGAGATTGCCATTACCACTGCTTCTGGAGCGGGGAAGGAGATGGGGTAGGGGGGGCTGCACTTGGCGACTCCAATTCATCTCTCAGGCAGCAGGACAAAGAAGATAGCCTTGAGGAAGTGACCAAAGCTGCAAACAGCGGCCACGAGCCAGTGGGAGCGAAGGCTGGGGTCAGTATTCACCACACATTTTGTGATGTCTGCCTAATGAGGAGGAAACAGAGATCATCAGAGAGAGATGCCCAGAACCACGACAGCCACCACTGCCGCCTCTCCCGGCCCCACGCCCCCGCTGCTGCAGCACCACTTCGCCACACCGTCAGCAGCCACAAGTGCTCGCTCTGACACTTCCACACGCTGCCGGTTATTAAATCAAGAGCTCTGCAAAATACACTTTCTTCATTCTGCATCAACAAGGTGAAGTATCCCCCTTTTCAGCCACCCCTGGGGAAAGAAGTGCTACAGGAAGATTGTCAAGCATTTTCCATTTTGAATAGCTAAATAAAAGAAACTTTCTTCCCCTTTTCAAAAGGGCTAGGAAGCCTTGGCAATATCAGCATTCTCATCCTTTGCTGCAAAGCAAGATGCTTCCCAGAGGTTGGCCTGTTTAATATCAGCTCAAGTCGCTTGCACTTTTTCTCTTGCCTTAATGTTTTATTTGGAACTCATTCAAGGAAGCCAACCCCGAATTTAAATCTAAAGCAATGCAAGCTTTGTTTGTTGAAATACGTATGCTGGCAGAGATGCCTCCCAGACGCGTGGGCCAGATTTAAAGATCGCTTGGGCAGCTAGTTTCAAGTATTAACAAGAATAGAAGCTGGCCTGCAATGAATAAAAACCAACAACAATGCAGCAAATTCATGAAGACAGGATCTCAGCTGGCACTGGGAGGAGAAGGTGGAAAATATCTGGAGGGTAAAGTGAACAGGACAGAGGTAGATAGAAAATTGCATCTTCCGGAGGGGGAAACAAATGAAAGTTCTGCCAGCAATATAATTGAGTTTGTGGTTAAACTTGAGCCTAGCACGAGGAGATGTGGACTGTAGTTCTGTAACAGAGGGAGCACCGACAGCACATCAACTTGATGCGGTTTTCAGAAACGGCTTTTGGGTGGCAAATGTGAGCAAGAATCGGGTCACAAGGAGGGCAAATATCCATCAGCCTCAAAAGCTTTTCCTTCTCAAGCTTAGCTGTGCTAACCAACTCCACCATCATCTACAGACCAAAGGTCTGTCAACAGCAGCAGCCTCAACAGCCTCCCACGCAGCTCCAGCAGTTCCTCTCTCACAAGGAAGTCTGAAAGGCTGGCACGCTGAATCACCCCGCACCGCTGCTCTCCGGGGAGCATGAGGAGACGCTGAGCCCACGAATAACTGACAAGTGGAGATTGCAGGAGGAATGAATACAGGCACTCAAGGATGGGAAGAAACAGGATGACAGGAGGAAGCTGAATCAGCACGTGGAGTGCTCCTGAGGCTGAACACCAAGGTGTGGAAATGCTGCTGCCTATAGCTACACAAGCACAAGCAGACGTAGCAAGCAGCCAAGACAGCACCTAACGGAAGATGCTGCAAGGTAGTACGGGTGGTTATAGGTACTTTATCTGTATTGCGGAGGAAAGTAAAATGTGTCTGCCTAAATGCTTTCAGTGATGGCATAGCAAATTCACCCTATTTGCATTTGAAAAAAGTCTGAACTGATTCAGCCTGTCCAATTTTAGGGAATGGCACGGTGTCAGATTTAAACACAGTTGTGTCAAGCTGTCTCTCTAGTCAAGGGAAGTCATGACGTTCAGGTACCTGCCTGAACATGTATGCAGATGTTGGGGTAGCTGATCAATACGAAACCTAAGCTCTCAAGGGCTTTAGTGTCTCAGGTGAACCAGTACAAAGCCCAAATATGCACACCAGGTTGGTTATAGCTGCAGCGGGTTAACTCCCAGATGAGAAAGTGTGAACTCCTTACAGCTGTGTTATGCCCTACCAAAAGCAATGACCTCACTGCGGCTAATCAAGAGGAGCTACAGTCAGAAGCACTTAAAAATCTGTATGGTGCTTGCTTAGATAAACAAAACTGCTCAGCTGTTTAACAATCGCCTTAGCTATTGTTATCCAAATAAAGCATACCTGATAAGGCACTGGAATTGAAAATTTCAAAGCCACTTAATAAAACAGGTCTTTGAGTCTTGTGAGGCACTGATAAACTGTTGCAATGGCAGTTTGATCTCCGCCTGTTAATTATTCAAACAAGTTCAAGTCCCATGCTCGTCTTTGTAGCAAACGCACGTAACAGCTGCTAAAAAAAAATAAATAAATCTTTCTCTTCTACTGTAAAGCCACTACTGAGGCTGCAAACTCTCCCCAGAGAGAGATGATGCCTCAAAGGGTTAAACATTTCTGGTTTCTCCTAAGAGGTTTGGTTTAGTTTGGGCTTTGCGGGGGGGTAGGGGCTTTCTCCACCCTATGGAAGCAGCATGGGAACCTGCTGCTGAGTGGAGACTTTCAAACACCTTTCCAAGGTCTCCACGGTGGCTTTTCAGAAACAGCTCAGAGCACAGTGGTTCCTCTTGGCAGGCTCAACCTGAGGCGATGCGTAAGAGACGGGGGCCACGTGCACAGGGGGAACAAGAACTCCAGGCCAAGACAAACCAAGCACCAGCTAGGTCAGGCAGCAGATGAAAGGGATTCCCACTACAGAGCTGTTTTGTCTGGCCCATTTGTGAACAAGGCTGGGAAATTTCATGCTGCAGTGCCTAGATCAAGAGGAAGAACATTCAGGGAAGCACAGCACAAGATGGCAAGAGGATTAGCAGCCTTTCCCCAGACTGAAGGAACCACTCATTTCTAGAGGGAAAAATACCTCCTTGTTTCAGCCCAAAATTGCCAATAAGGGTACTGGAGACAGGCTGTAATCAGCACAACCCGGCAGCTTTTACAGTTGTTTTGCTTGATCTGGGGCAGTCAGATTGGCTTCCCTTTCTTAGGGCCAGATCCCGAGCGCAAGCAGCGTAGGTTTCGGCAACTCCAATAGCAACGCACCAGCCATCCAAAGAGGGATGATCGGCAGGAGGAGCTAGCAGTGGTCAGGGCTTATCGCCTCAGCTGCAAGGAACCACTTCTGGTCAGGGGATGGGTTTTGTCGCCTGTTTGCTATGCAACAAACTTTCCAAAAATATCCATTTCGAAGTATCAAAACACCCTGTTTTGAACTCTAATAATGTAAGATAAAAATTAAAGCAAGATGCTAACTTATCAGAACATGCATATTTTACCAAAACAAAGAAAAAAAATGAGTTGGAGACTAGGAGGAGACACATTCCTACGCAACATTTCAATTTTAATGAAAAGGGATTTTTTCCAAAGGAAAGATTGCTTCACAGAATACATCTCAACAAGCTCTAGAGATTACCCCGTTAAAGCGAGCCTCAAATGATACTGAGGCAGGGATTTCGTGGGCAGGGACAGTGCTGCTTAATCAGTCGCTTTCCCAGGATATCCTCATCACCTACCTCGGCACAATTATTTGCGTGGACGCAAAATGAAACAGATGAGGGCATTCAAATCAAAGGTTACTTTTCAGCCCAAGCAAACAGTTCCCTGACCCAGCTGGCCTCAAGGTCACACAGTTTTAGAAAGGGCAGAGATGATTTAAGGTGGCAATGACACTTAGTAAATGCAAGAGATCCAAAATGAGAACAACACTACTTTTCCAGTTGCCATCCATCAAAAAGGTGCCTTCACTCCATGAGAAACTGGGTGACTGAATCAGCTACAGGCACATTTGGGAAGTCTCAGCACAGAGGCAATACTCAGTTTCGAAAAAGCCATCCTCCTCTCTCCGGGTCTGTGTGGGCTGGGGAGCCTGACTATTTCCCAACGGCTCAGGAATAAATATCACCTCTTGCAAAGGAGGGAATTTGCCGCTGCGGCTCGGTCTGGACAGACTGCATGCCTTGGGAACAACATGTCCCATGAGCTCAGTGGTATCATATGGCAATATTTAGCTCTAGGCAGCATCTGCCAGGCAGTACCCCAAAGTGCTGTTGGCTGTATCGCTCCAAGGAGTGTCTATATCCCCTGCCAGACCCGCACAGAGACCCTGGTACGTACGTAACCCAGCTGCCAACCGCTAGCATGGCCAACCAGCCATCTCAGCCTCCTGGGGAGGTCACTAGACAGGCACCTAGCTATTCCACAGCACTGAAGTAAAGTTCTTACTCTGAATCATCCTCCACAGGAGCACTCTATTTCCTGTTGGGTATAGAGAGAACCAAAGAAATCAGATGCTTAAAGCCATATGATATGAAGCCCCACGCCAACGCAGAGCGGCACCATGCCTTACCCACAGCCTCAGGGCAGGCCAGTGCCAGAGCCACGAGCCCTCCCACTGTCGATGGGTGTTACGAGTGCCCTTCAAAGCATAAGTGTGCTACGATTTGAGCTATATCACATGTTATTCATGGAGCATCATCAGGGTCAGGTCAGGAAATGGCACAAACTACCAAGTTTTCTAAAATTCCTTATGGTGGGAAGTCATATTAATATACTCTGACTTGGGGAATTGTGGGGCAGATGAAAGAGGAAATAAGTTGGCAGGCCTGTTCATTCAGTTTCTAGAAAACAGCTGCCCAAGAGAATGACCCCTATTTACAGTCTCCGGCTACAACTGGCTGGCAGCTCCAGAGATGTTCAGGTCAGGAACAGAAGAAGCACTAGCGGGTCAGGATTGAATTAGTCTGGCACAGCTACGCAGGAAGCTGAGGACCAGAATAGCTGATATTGTCAAGGACGGAACCACAAGGCAGTAACAGAGCTGTATGGAGTCTAGCATAAGTGTCAGTAGGACGGTGGTGGCCACAGGGCTGTGGAAGAGAACCTCATTCAATGTTCTTCTGCATAAAGTTGCAGTGGGGGCACTCTCACTTTAATTAAATGGGGCTATTTTCTGGTCTGCATGTGCGGAAGCAAGCTTGATCAGACAGCATCTCTTACCCAGCCTCCTCTCCTCTTCAGCCATGTCACCAAGGTCTTGCGGACAAACTCTCCCAGGCAGTCTACAATGGTGTGAACCATGGCTGGCTGTGCATGCCGCACGCAGTCCACCGCCAGCCCAGCTGCCACAGCATAGAGAGACACCACCTTGCCCCACGTGATGCCTACGGAAAGAAGAAAAGTCATTCAGATTTACATACGCACACATAGCTCAGTCTTGAATAATCAAGGGAAACAGCTCTCCTTCATTACGTGTGCCCACGCAGCTCTGAGTTCAGGTGCAGCCACAGTTTTGCATGCTCTCCACCAAGGGGGAAAGAAATACTAGGGAACCAGGGTTGGGGAAAACTCCCCACCTGGAGGAGCAGAATTAAATGAACCGACCTGGGCATGATTTGACCCCATCTCAGCACTGGGTACACAGCTTTGGAGAAAGCAGCCCAAAGGCATCATCAACATAGGGAAGATGTGCACCACCATGGTTTATATTGCCGTTATCTCTCAGCCATGCACACGCTGCACAGGAGGTGATTGAATTCAAAGAGCTTGAGCAACCTGGGGTTTTTGTCACCAGCACAACTTTTAAATACCCTCAAAAGCATTCCTGTTTTTTTTTCTAGATCATAGAATCATAGAATCTTTAAGGTTGGAAAAGACCTCTAAGACCATCAAGTCCAACCGTCGATCAGAGGAGACTGTTCCAATGTGACACACAAAGCACATGAGATAAGCATCTTCAGTCAGTCTATCACGACACAAGAGCAAAAAAGGGAGGCAAAGATACAGGGCCAAGAGGGTCAGCCTCCTCCTTGATGTAAGGAGTACATCTCAGTTGCCACCAGAAAACCAGGTAGCTTCAAGAGTTTGGCCGCTCTGCCTGCAATACTTAACACTGCATATGCTATCCCACTGAAGGCAGTGCAGGGACGGAGTGTCAGTCAGCTATCTAATCTCCCAGAAAACAGCCTTCCCGCTAGGCTGACCTGCTAGCAGCAAATGCTCCATGGACGTTATCCCAGCAGCAGTCATCTTCCTGTTAGTGCTAGCGATAAGCGCTCAAGCCCAGTTCTGGGTACCAGCCAAGCTCCCTGGGTGTCCCCCCCACTTTGCCAACACCACCGGGTATAAATCCTCCATGCTTAAACATTGCAGCCAGTCGTCCCTCATCAGGCTTTTATCAGGACGGGTGACCTGGAAACGCAACCCTTCTGCACCCATGTAGAACTACCACCACAGGACAATGGCACGTGGATTTCTTTTGGATCCAGTGGGAAGTTTAATCCCCCCCCTTTCTTTATTATCTGGAACAGCAGTATCTGACAAACATACTGTGAAGTATTTTACAGTGTTAGAGTCTGTCCAAGGTCTCTCCCAAATGTAGCCAGAAGCCAGGTAAAGTTTCAGTATTTAAAAACATGTAAAAGTGTTCTTGCTGGGTTGCAACAAGAAAGAAAACAGATGAGAGAGAGGAAAGATTAGTTCAGTCACTAGATCTAAGGGCCAGAAGGGGTTAAACATCCCATCAAGAAACTGGATGTGCTCAGCAATCTATCAGCTAAGAAAGCAAACCTTTAAATACAATTTAAGGGAAGAGCTTGCCCTCTTTCCTTCACTGCACTCCCAGGTCTCCAACCCACCTCTCTGGGATGAGGCTCCAGACTCCTCGCGCCCGTTCACACCGCAGTAGAGCTCCCCATGTTCCTTTACAACACGTGCAGGTTTCAGAGCATCTCCACGATCCTTCCACTTCATGCCCCAAAAGGGACCTCACATTCACACTTTTAGGAATTGCTTTTTTTTTTTTTAAACAAAAAAGTACTAAACTTTAGAGAAACTGTTCAAATGTTAGCCACAAGAATGGCTTGTTAAACTGAAGAAAATCCATTCAGTGTTCCAAAAATGCCATTTTTGATGCAAGATCAAAATCGACAGATGATCCTTTTGTGAGGCTCTGTAGCAACAGTAACAGCAGTAGCTCAGAGTCTCCTGTGATGCTCTGTCCTTCATCAACACTAGCTCCAAGATCAGAGGAAGTTATTAATACTGCTAAATTGGCTGTTATTCTTATTCTGATTTTATTTTCTGAGTAGGCCCTGCGGTGTCCCTTCCCCAGAGCTGTCACTCAGGAAGTTCACTGCCTGTGTGGTATTCACACTATTTATCTGTCTTTCTCACATTGCGTGTCACCATGACAGCTAGCAGAACGAGCCAGGAAGAGGCTATAAAAACACATGAGAACATACTAGACAGTGGGCTTCTCCTGGCAAGAAAGGGGCTGTCCTGTTGCAGGTCAATAGCTCTGCACCCAGCGAAAGAGGCTTTAAGGGGTTGCCTCTTGCTGACCACAGTGTCCTGGAGCAGAGCCGCAGCTGGCTTATACTCAGCTTTAGTGTAAGTCAGTTTTTACAGTTCTCCACCCCTGCAGAAATGTGGCTCCTTGCATCTTGAGTTACATGAACCAAAGTTACCCAAAATTCCAGGGAAGAGTTCACTGGCTTATTCCCAAGCTTTTACTGACAGCTCTCTTTCTTAAATATCTGAAGCAAGTCCAGTAGCTTTGAGATATTTACATGGCAGTAAATAAGACTGATGGGGGGCTGAGGCCACCCTGGTAGAGAAAGACAGCTGCAGTCTTGATTAACTTCGTTTAAAACCTAAGTTTCAATTTCCAACAGAAAAAACGCGTATCCACAACCTCTGAACGATAAAGGCTCGATAGACCCATGATTTCCCTATCACGGAAAGCAGTTTGCTCTGAGCCATGTCAGTCCAGGTCTCTCCTCCCAGTGAGGATGAAGAGAAAGCCCTTCAGCTCGGGCTTCTCTGCCAAGGTTGCTGCCTAGTGGCGCTTGCTGCAGGACTTGCAGGAGGTGAACGCTTTCCCAGCAGATGGACAGAGCCCCTCTCCCTTTCACACGGATAGCAGAAAGAGGGCAAGTTGTTGGCCGATGCTTATCGTGGTGATGGCTCAGCGGTCACTTCCCATTATTCTCCTCTTTACAGAGGATGCTATAAGGGTCAAACCAATCTCTCAGTCTGCTTTTCCTGTTACCAGTGGAGCTGGGCCACAGGGGTGGGAGAGGAGGAAATCCCCTCCCGATTTCTCTCCACAGAAACTCCTTTTGCCACTGCTGGAGGCAGAAGATGGCGACAGCCGGCTGGGCTCCTCACCCGAGACAGCAAGGCATAGCTTATACTCCTGTTCGCACGCGATGTTGTAGGGGACCCTAAGGGAAGGGCAGACACCTCTAACAGCTGCTCTAGACCAGAGCTGGGCCATGCCTGTGGCCGGTCCCTCTGCCCCAGGAGGGCTCCAGCAGCCGCCCAGCCCCAGGCAGGGCAGGGGAACAGGACACAGCAGCCCCCATCTGCACCTTTCCAGGACACCAGCTCCATTAACTTTTCTCTCTCAAGGATTCCCTTGGCAGGGGTAGAGGAGCACAATCTACCGAGAGGGCAGTGCCTCTGCCCCCTGCGATGTCCAGTCCAGGGTCAGGGTGACCCTAGCTCAATGCATCCCTCAACACAAGCTGGAGTTGCATCTGGCCAGTGCACGTGAGCAGAGAAGACACATTGTCTTGCTGCAAATTCCTCAAAAGGTCTGGCTGCCGTCCACATTGGGTGAAACGGGCACTCATCACCAAGCGAGACAATCTATTCGCAGCTTCCCACTGTGCATGCACAGGAGCTAACGACAAGAGGGAATGGAAAACTGGTCCAGAAAGGAGTGATCAAAAAAAAAGAAAAAAGCTCTGAAACTTCTGCTCACAGAGATGGAACAAAAGGACATGGAAAAAATGAAAAGCTGCTTAGAAGGCATTTTACAAAATAAGAAATACAAGTTGCAGACTCAAGGCCAGTCACGGAGCTGAAGGTATGTAAACACTGGCGAGCCCAGGGGAAAATGAATTAGCAGGAGAGGACCGCTCTTGAAAGTGTTCCCGCTGCACACCAGCTTGCCTGCCCCCAGGGGAGAGCTCCAGAAGCCATGAGACTCGACCGTGCACCACACTATCCAAGGTTACTCAAATAAACTTCCCTCTGCTCCACTCAGCATCAAAGCCTAACTTGCAAATCAGACGTAAGAGAAACATGATCAAGTGCTACATTTCAACAGCTGAGAGAACACAGCCAGACACAATACACTTTCCTCTGGCAGAGAGAAAGCAGCCAAGAAGGATGTGCACAAGGCAGGAAGCTCAACTCATAAAGCCTAAGTGATGAGGAAGCAGCGGCATGCATTTCTAACAGCATTTGCTCCTGCAGGGGTAAGTATTTTCTCCTGAGAAGCCACTAACCGTGCATCCCTGTTGCACAGGGTTCACTTCAGCCCAACTCTTGATTAAAAACTGACGAACACCTAAACCAACACACAACCAGGATGAAAGCTTTGAGAGAGCCCTCATGTCTAGCAGCTCTTACCAACTGGAGGAAACTGTTTCCTTTAGGAAAGGAAAATGCATCACCTTTTTTTTCTTCTGTTTTTCCACCAAGGACCCCTTCCTTCTGGGATTTATTTAAACAGCTAATGTAAATGCCAGCTCAGCCAGGCCCCAGTCCAAAGCCTGTTAAAGTCAGCGGAAAGTCTCCTGCTGGCTGCGGAGCAGCTTTGGACCACACAGCAGAACCGGTGGTATTGTCACAGAGGTGATGCTGCTGCAGATCCTTCAACATCCAAAGCAGGTCAGGGCTCTGCAGTGCCAGCCTCCACATGGATGGGCTCTCCTTGCCCCAAATAACTAACAGGTTGTATGGAAACAGGGAAGCAAAATACAGCTCGAGCCTTACCATGCTCTCTGCCCTGCTCACTTTCTGCCTATATTCTCAGCTGTTAATCTTGCCGTAATTGGGATTCAAGCTGTCCTTACTACACCAGAGAAAAGCCAAACCCAAGATAACTGGAATAGACAACGCTGTAAAGTTGAATATGGCACGATGTACCCATGCAGTGGGACCGACAGGGATGTCAGATGTCCTCAATCTTGCCTTCTTGAGAGGTCTGTCCAGGGCTTGTGCTTAATCAAGACTTGTAGACGGTGTGAACAGGAAGTGAGCACAGCCAGAGCTACTGTGTGAAGACTCAAAACCAGATCAGAGTGTGGAAGAAGGCCACGTAAAAGATTAAGGAGAAAACCTCTTCAGAAAGATAGGGTTAAAATCCCCCACTCCCTTGCTGGGAAGGCATTGCGAGTGGCTAACAGGGCTCCCTGGGATGTCTAGGCACTGCAGCGTCAGACTGTAGCTGTTTTCTGAATAAACTGGACAGTGAAAAACAGGCCGAGATGCTTTAGCTGTTGGTAACTGGCACAAAAACTCAGACTGCACTTGAGCCTCTGATTTCCTTTGCTCAATAAGAGCCTCTTTCCTCTGAACTATGAAAAAAATTGGGAATGAATGTCTGGCTGCCACAGCCAACTGTGATTTGCTGGATTTAGCATTAAATGCTGAGTCTTGAGACTTGAAGTTGGGATCCAGGAATGTTAAAAATCAGCAAACCCCTCCCCCTCTGCCACTCAGCAGCCTTCTAGCAAGAGAAATTACAACGACGAATTGATAAAAGCCATGGAGTACACAACCCCAGCTCCACGCTCACAGGTTATCCTGTTAGTTGCTCTGAGGCAGAGATGAGAAAGAAGAAAAACCGGAGCATATAGAGCACCGGGAAGGTTTGAATCCACCCCTGTGTAGCCAGCCAACTGCGAGCCATTTATGCAGCACGGTGTCCTCAGACGAGGGGCAGCACTAGCAACAGAGCTTGAGCCCGAGATGTTGAAGAACATAAAAAAAACGCAGCTCTCAATGAATCTGTCGATACACATTGGCGAGAGCAGGACTCCCAGAGGCCAGCAGGGCTTTCTCCCCAGCATCATGTTCATGCAGCGTAGCAGCACGCGTGGTCTGCTCCACCTGCAGCCGTCCACCTTTCTGGCTCAATTCCCTGTGTCACTTCAGCTGTGGAGGTAGGCCAGTTCTGATGTAGTCAGCTACAGTCATCTAATAAGATAACCTACTTACCTGCAATACAAATACCCGAGCCTGCAAACTTGACCTTCACTTTTCTGTAAGCCTTGACGCACGTAAAGCTCAGCACTAAGTGATAAGACAGGGCACCTGCACTTTGAACACAGCCGCACTCAGACATTCCTGCCACACTTGCCCAGCTCTTGCTTTCTGAGCCCACATAGCCTCCCGGGCAGCCCAGTGCCACGGCAACCTGCATTTCTAGCTACAGAATCCAATTCCATCCATTTCCTATGACACAGCTTCAGTTTCCCTGATCCAGGGGGTAAATCTGCCCAGCTTGACCTGCCAGGAGCGCTGCTCGAGCGGTGCCTCTCAGAGATCGATTTTGTCATCTGCTGCGATTCTGGAGAGGATCTGTGCTTTCCACCACAGCACACTTCAGATCCAAAGTCCAGGAGCGCAGCACAGGGTTTCTCCAGGGCGTCAGTGGTTCCCACGCAGTTCATATGCGTAAAGATGCATAGCTGATTGTGAAGGCTTTGAGTGAGGAAGCCTATCTGAAAGTACAACAGACACCTGGACTTCTATTCTGTGCCAAATACTTCCAAAGTAACAAGAATCCCTGCCTCCTGTGACACTTCCCATGCCAGTGTCACTGGATCCAGTGTTCTCATACTACTATGCTGCTAGCAAGTAGCTATCCTTTTTTGTTTTGTTTTGTGGGGGTTTTTGAGGGGTTTTTGTTTGGTTTGTGGTATGGGGTTTTTTATTTGTTTGTTTCCAGTGTCTAACACCTACTGTCCTTTCCATGGACAACACAAGAAGACATTGCAGAAAACCCACAAATGTGTCAGGGCTTGCCTGACATAAATCTCTCTACGGGAAAGGTTTCTCTTCCCTTGATTCCCCCAGACTGCATTCCCAAGCGCAAAGGCAGGGGAGGCTGAGGTTCCCTCACAGGAACACAGCACGGAGCATATCTTTGCTCGCAGCAATCATCTCTGGATCAGTCAAACAGAACCAGATGAACATTCACGTCTGAGCAGTGAGAAAGCTCAAAACACTCGCTTGTCTGGAACAGCTAGCCGCGGGGGCCAAGGCCTCTGTCTCTCTGACTACAAGAGAAGAGAAGCAGCAACTGGAAGCAGCAGGCTCCATTGCAGTTCTGGCTATTGCTGGAGGAAGGGAAGCCAGGAAGAGAGGAACTCCCTTGTGATGAGTTGGTTCTGGCTCCCAGCATCAGCAGTGCGAGCTGGAACAAGGGAGACTCCCATGTAATGAATCTTCTCCAGTTGCCAATGGTGAGCAAAGGAGCTTGGAATGAGTGACCTCCCTGTGCAATGAGGTAACACCACCTCCTAAGGAGGAAGGGCAGGAGATGCCTTCTAGAATGAGCGAGAACCTGCCAGGAGGATATAATAAAACAAGGCATTTCCCTGCCAGCACAACAGAGCACAGAGGAGCTCTCATTAAATCATTAAAGTGGGGCACACTGCCAAACGGCCCACAGCCCTTTCAGAAACCAGGCCCCACCTTGCAGGCCATCCCAGAAACATGCCTTCTCCAAGAGAGGTGGTTCCATCCCGTTCCTTTCTGCCCAGCTCTGTCTGCGTATCTGTCAGGGCACAGTACCTGCAGTGAAAATCTGCGCAGCTACTGCCAGGAAGGCGTCCGTCACCACCGTCTCCGAGTGCAGCGAGATGTTCAATTGGCGGGCGATATTCCGGTAGACGTTGGGGCGAATGTATTCCAGCTCATCCCCTGGAAACAAAGAGTCAGGAGTCAGCACGCAGAGCACCAAGTCCTGTTCTCACCGTGTAGGAATTACAGCTGGGGCCACCCCACGTATCCCTCCAGCCAAAGAGGCTTAAACCCAGCTCCACCTTATTTTAAGCAGGCAGCAGAGTGCTCCGGGTCATTTAGACACAATCCCCTGCCACCTGCATCCTGCTTTCCTCATATCCCCTGCGCCTGGGGCTGCTGAAGGCAGTGGGGACAGGCAGTGGCCCTGTCCCACTGCTGTGGCTGCAGTGATCCCCGATACGAACGATGTTCCCAGGCTGGCTGCCTGCCTTTCCTCCAACACAGGAGACAGGCCTCAGATAAGCAAAGCCACCTCGTTTTTCTTCAGAAGTGAAAAGGCGGCATGTACATCTACATAAGGTTTTGAGAGATACGCCCTTTCTCAGCACCCCATCAGACTCGTACAAAAAAGCCTCAAGACGAGAGCGACTCAAGAATGCTGGAGGCTGATGAAAGCCAAGGATCCACCCAGAGCTGCACAATATTAATTGAGCAGACTATCAGCTCAGCTATTTTACGCTCGCACAGGCGCTGAGTGACGATCTGGAGTTCCTTCTCTTCTCCAAATGGTTAAAGAGATGTTCATTTGCCTGGCTGACTCCTCAGCAACAAGGTTCCTGACACACACACAGACGTGTGCTTTCAGCTCCACGTTGTTTTCTCCCCAGCTGGGAAATGGTTGGAGGTGTTAGGCTAGCTTGAAGACCAAGACGGAAATACCAAGGACAAGCAGAGAACCTCCTCCCACACGTTTGAGCTATGGAGCTTGGGCAACAGCAGTAAAGCTTTTTTCTCGCTAGCAAAACAAACTGTTTTTGAGCAGTAGAATGAATAAGGTCCAGTTTCCAAAGGGTTTATCTCTCTATAGGAGTTCACAGATATTTAATGAGGGTTGCACAGCATTACACAATGCAGATATTGCATGGGACCAAGGCCCTTTGTGCATGGGAAGTCCCTATTTGGTTTAGATTTAGGAGGATACAGATGTCCTTGTCCTGCACAAAGGTGCTCTGGAGCACCCAGGGGAAGAGCAGAGCTGTCACAACTGGGTTACATCCCACTGCAAGACCCAGATGAATTGCCCTAGTCAGAGGGCAACTGATCCTCCCAAAAATTTAATTTAGAGGGGAACTGAAAAGGAAGATGCCACCCCAGTCAGGAACTTGTTATAGAGTCATTAGCTACTGATCCTTAATTCATTTAACTGCACTCAGCACAGGCAAAGCCCAGCTCTACAGAATTCCACGGACGAGCTCTCCGGACCCTTTGTGCCTGTGGGATTGTCCCACGCAATCTGATGGCAAGAGGAAACCCTGCCGACACATGGTCAGCCCTGATAAGAGGAAACCTTACTGGCACTACCCAACAGCTGTTTTCTCCTCAAAGGGAGCATACAGGCTTCCCTGTAAATGGGAGGAAACGGGGATAGCCCTGCCCGTGGTTAGCCAAGAGGGAGGCATGGGAGGCCTGCCACTGTTCCAGCTTTTAGCCAGCAGTGCCTGGGGGCCCCAGATGAGATCAGGGCCCGTTTGGGTTGGAGGCACACACGCTGTTAAAGTGGGCCCTGCCCTGCAGCAATGCACAGGGCGGACAAGAGCATCGGGAGAAGAAAAGCAGTCCAGGCTCACAGAGGCTCCCTGCCTCCGGGACCCCAGGACCTCTCCAGCAGCACGTTACATTGGTGGCAGCCCTCGGTGTCCATGTTCAGATGCCCGACTGTGCACTTTGCATAATTTAGAGCAATTTCTGTGCTTCTCCTCCTTCCTCCAGCAACCACGGAGGAACAAGCAGGGCAGCAGCGACAGTTCCCACATGCAGAAACTCAGTGCGGAGGTGAAAGAGCACTCGCCTGGGACTTGGCTAGAGCAGAGACAAGTTCAGATAAACCAGACCTCTGACACATATGGCAGGTTGGTCTGGGGTGTCTCATTTGCCCATACCATTAGGTTTTACCACCTCTGACTCATTAATTGCACAAAGTAGCTGCTAAGCCTCACTGAGCTGACGAGCTCTCGCTCCCCAAGACTTTGCAACCGCATCGCCTGTGCCCAGCGCCTCTGCTAGCCCACCAGCCCACTCATCCGACTCTTGGGATGTGCAAGAGGGCTAGGAAATACTCTGACTTCTCATCTCCAGAGGCTTCTCAGCGCTATCATGGAGAAAAAATGGATCTGGGTTGTTGCACTGCTTAGTAAGCAGCTAACCATTCCTGGCAGGTGGCTGGATACCACTCGGCTTTGTACTGGTTTATAGCCACAAAGGGGAAAAGAAAGGGACAGGCCCCGTGGCAGGTGGCATTTCTGAACAAACAGTTCGGAAACAACTCTTCATCCTAACAAGGAGGACTGCTCACCCTTCTTGTCGCATGGCTACCACATGGCTCTCTCCAAACAGATTTGCTCAGAGAAGGCGCCAAGATCCTGGGACTATCAGCCAAATCGTTCCATCTGGACACGAATAAGTAACAGGAGAGTCATCCAGGAGACGCCTTCAGATCCAGTCTGCCACCTGCTTGCCCTTTAAGATGCTCCTGGCCACCCACAGAAGAGCTGGTTGAAAGCAAACAAATCTCAACCCCCAACCCAGGCAGAGAAGAAATGGAGGACAAAGAGGCGGCAAAGATTGACAGAACAACAACAAAAAAAAACCCTCGAAGACTAAACAACCACTGAAAACAAAAATAGAAGCCAGCATAGGAGAGAAAAATGAAAAAGAATGAATGAAAAAAAGAAAAAAAAGGCAGTTAAAAGAAACACAGCTATGCCTTAAAAAGAAATTTGTGATAATGTCAAACAGAAGTAGAAAGAAATGGGGGGAAGGGGGAAGACCAGCCTGGTCCCGAGTTGGTTAGGCCCAGCTAAAGGTTACTTCACCCAACTTACTTGAACTTTGGTGTAATTAAATCAAATGCAAATGCTAGTGGTAGTTTCCAAGCCAGATGTGAACTAATATATCAGCCTGCAGGCAAAGCGGGATGTTGGAAGCAACTTCCAAGAATAAGAGTGTCAAGATCCCAAAAGACAAACAGCTCGACTTGAGCATGCAGGAGGCTAACACCTAAAGCAAAAGGCCAAGCAGCTGTCAGCATTTAGAGGGTTCTCCTGGTACAAGCACGACTCCAGAGCACATCTTCACGTAGCAGTGTGCAGGCATAACCTCCAAATCGCTCTCCCTGCAGCCCGGCAGTCACCTGGCCATGAGGGGGGCTGGCTAGTTTGGGCACCGACCGGCAGTGTATGCCAGGCATCAGCCAACTCCTTGCTCCAACTAAAAGCAAGAAAATTCATGTCTTGCTGAATGATTAAGGTAGGCAAAGGAAAATTAAACACACTGTCACTGAAAAGCGGTTTTTATAAAATCTCCAACGCACATGGTCTAAACGACTGCCCCCAAATTAAACGTCCTTGCAGCTGGATGAGCCACAGATGAAGCTCGAGTCTAGAGGCAGCAGTACTCTGCTAGATGCCAGCTAGGGTTGCATCACGGCAGCCAAGTCATCTGTGTCTGCAGAAAACACTGCAAGACCTGTTAAAATGCCAAGCTGAGAAAGACTGCTGAAACTACTATGAAAACTTACACAGCTGGAATCTTATGCAGATAAAATTAGTTTGCTTTTGGGACTGCATTGTGCTTTTAAGTTGTCGTAAGTCCTCAGAAAAAAGTAGCTCTGCAGAAACACTGTGCTGAGCAGTGCTCCAAAGGACAGGGGAAAGGCAGGTAAAGGAGCTGTTTAGGGAAGATCACCAAAACCAAATCTAAATGCCCAAAACAGAGAAGAAAAACCTTGATATCATCACAGGAAAAGCCTCTTGGCACTCATCAATTCCAGAAAGCTTAGTCTGGCCTGGACCTCTCCATACAGGTTTCAGTTCCCACCCATACTCGCAGGGGCTTACCTAGTCGCAGCAGTATGGTGGACACCTCGGCCAGCTTACCACCAGGCACTGGTGCGTTGTACTCAGGTTTGCTCCAGCTGACTCCCGCTCGAATTAGCCTTGAATTTATGTAGTCTCTGCAGAGAGCCTTGGCTTGGGACACAAGCTCCTTGTCAGTGGGAGACCTGTCAAAAACCTCCATCACCTCTGCAGCAAAGACTGAGGAACGGCGTAGCACTTCCATCCTTGGCTGCCGAACCCACGCCTCAGCAGACGCTTGCTGAAGGCTGACCTGATGCCTTAGGTGAATATCTGCGGGAGCTGTGTAGTAATCCTCTGGTCTCTTGGTTTGTCACAGCTCCCAGCAGCTACTCTCAAAAGGCCAGTTCTTCATTTTACCTGTTGAATAAAAGCATCTGTAAGCCCTCTAGCATTGCAAAGTTGTAAATCAGAAGCCCCAAGTATTACACCTCGCGTTACGCTAAAGTCAGCGGTATCATATTTGCAAAACATCTGTCCCGGTGCATCTTACGGACAAGAGGCAAAGACTTCTGTCTTTCGGCCACACTGACTTTCACTGGCAGCATGACCCTCAGCAGCACTGCAGTTCTGAACTAGCAAAGTGTTTCCTCTTTTCCAGTTCAGATTCCACAGTCCCAGAAGTACCCTTCAGAGAGATTAGATGGTCAGAGCGTGGAAACAATTCATAGAATCCGTAGACAATCTCAGCTTGTTTCAATTAAACTGGAAAAAAAACCCAACCCTGAATCCCAAATACCAGCTACAGTAACCTCAACAGACATTCCAGCTCAGTAGGTCATGGATCTTTCTGAAGAAATGGCACTATTGTGAGAACAGGGGGGCGGGAGACTTTGAAATGTCTTGCTGGAGACAGTTTACTACATTCTCAGTTAAGATTTTGGTTCTGCCACCCTACATCTCTCCTCCACGCCCCCCCCCCACCCCCCCCCCCCCCCCCCCCCCCCCCCAAGCAACGTGCATACTACTACTCGAAAAACTTCAGCAATAGCAAAGAGAGAGCAAAACAGAAAAGCAGATTTTAAAAAAGTTTTCAGGTGTGAATGCCTGAAGAGAAAATTCAAAATTTCTTCAGAGACACCTGAATTCATCTGTTGATCAGTGTTACTGTTGAAGTCAGACCAAAGTCTTTATTCAGATGTTAGTAAATGTATTTTTCAGTCCCCAGTTTTAGACATCTACTTACAACAATGATTTTCAAATGAAATAAAGCCAGTTATTTTTGTTTTTCCCAATGAAAAATATATTTACCTCTCATGTTGCACTTTTGTCCCCTTCAGTGATTTCTTTTTGGGTTTGGTTTCATGTTTCTCTGGAAGATCTGCATCAATGGACACTTGGGTTAGGATTCATAGGATACCATCACACTTCTCTGGAGAGCACCAGCCTTCTCCACAGGGCTCACGGAGAATCTCCTTCCCCATCTCCATCAGCCTCGCATCCCAGCTCCACTCCACCGGGATCCTCGGGGCTCGCTCTGCTGCTTTTAAGGGACCCAGGCGGCCGAGGAAAGCTTCTAGCTTTAGCCTTGTAAGGAAGATGAAATAACTGGGAGGTGGGGTTGCTGTAAGCCAGAGCGACGCTTTCTCCTCCCCTCTCTTCTCACTTAAGGAGGTTCTCTGTCGTTCTGCTGCAAGCGCGCAGGGGCTTTGTTCAGGGACTCGTCTTCGGGGTGAGGGTAGGAGCATAATTTCTGGACCAGGTTACCCCACGGAAGAGAAAGCGATGAATGCACTGCTGAAATAGGAATTGCTCCTGGTGAATTCCCACAGCGGCTTTTGCAGAGTTGATGTTGGCCAGGCATTTTCAGACAGTAGCCGAGTCAGGCAACTGCAGGATGGCATACTGCAGCAGTGGGCTAGTCATGCCAGTTCCATCCGAAACGATGGAGGTGATTAACAGAGAGAGCTACAGCTCGAGGTTAAAGCAAGTGGTGCTTGCATCCCCCCCCCCGCCCCAGACTACGAGTAGTCTAGTTAAAAAAAAAATGAAGTGGATTTGCTGATAGGAAAGAGTTTGTCCAGAATGAAGAGTTTTGCGGGAGCATGTCCATTTCATCTCAGGGCGTTAAAAAAACTAACATATAAAGTTTGAGGAAAACATTTCAATTAGTTCCAACATACTTAGAAATTAATTTCAACATCAACTTCTTGTTGCAACATTATTGTATTGATGCCACAATGCTCAACTTTTTTCTGTGTTTGTGTGATAACATTTCAACTCAATAGACCACATACAAACGTTGGCTTTTTGTGTTATGATTTGAAACAAAAGAAGTTTTAGAAATAGGAGTTTCCTGCAGACAATAAATGCCACCAGCCCAAACACAAATTCTCCCCAAGAAATAGCAATTTGTAGATTAACGACTGGGTACGTGGCATCGTCAAAATACAGTCTTTCCAAAAGGAGGTCTGAAGCAAGAAGTAGCTGTTGTCATCTCTTGCTTGTCACCTTTGAGAAAAGACAGAGGCAAGTACACCTCTCCAAGGGGTCCATCACAAAAAAAACCCCTAAGCACAACCTGCACCACTGCCGGTCTCAACACCAAGGGATAAAAAGGAACAAATCAACTGCGTGAAAAAGCCTTATTATATGACGTATCAAATGCTGGCTAGCACCCAACACACAACTCGCGCACAGGCTTAACACAGAGCACGTGGTTTGGTCTGCCATTAACTGGATTGCTGGAGACTGCTTTGCTGTGTTGGGAAGGGGCTGCGGTAAAACCCGTCCCCCCTCCGGCAACAGATCCTCTTTCTGAGCTGGCTCCTTCTGGGGAAGGGGCAGGGTTAAGGAGAGGTCCGTGTACGCAGCAGTAGTCTGCTGGGCACCCCTGCCTTAGCTTGATATCATCACGTTAACGTGGCAATAGGGACTGTGCATCTCCAGCACCAAGAAGTATTTGCTGAAAGATTCTCTCAGAAATTTTTTATCCACCAGCCTTTCTCAAATATAAATTCAATCGCTTTAGACAGAGGCCCATCCCACAGAAGCCAAAACGAAGATTGCAGAGATCCTGTGCTGCTGCCCAGCCCTAACCCGCCTCTTCTCTGCAGAGTGCGCCTGATGGTCTCTTGGAAAATGATATTCTTGCCTTTGCAACTCTGACGGCTGAAAAATCATTAAAAAAATATGTCTTAGCTTCCTGCAGCAGCTGACAGCTTCAAACAGTAGTCCTATTTAAACTGTGCCTATTCAGTAGAGCTCTGAAACAAAGAGGAGTGCTTAAATACCAGTATTGCTTAACTAATGATAAAGTTCCCCAGAATTCTGGCAAACATGCAAGTGCCACAGTGCCTCCCAGCTCTCTGTGGATGCCAAACCCATCCCACGTGTTCCCTGACCGACTGTCACAGCATACAGCACCCCCTCAACTTCCACCCTGCAGCAAAGAAAGACACAAGAACTAGAAACATGAAGGCTGTGCATAATAAACCAAACTTTGTATAAAAACACTCAACAGAGCATGGTATTCTACCTGGATTATTTATACACTAAAAATACAGCTTCACACTGAAAGATACCTCTATAAGTAAAACCAGATGAAACCACAGCATACAGTGCTCAGCTGACCGCAAAAGAACAGGGTGTTACAATCCAAGGAGCTGCCAAGTATAATCCGAGCCCCTTTTTCCATAGTATGTTTGGGCTACAACATTTCGAGGCCAATCTATACTGGAAAAACCCTTGTGGCAAAGGAGTATCAGGAAACAGCGCAGAAACAGCTTGTATCACCCCAAACCACTGTTCCCAGCATAGCTATTACTGGCATGACGGTGTTCTGGCTGGAACAACAGGCTCCACACCACAGCTCCTGCCCATCGCCGATGCAGTAACCAAAATCGCTTGCAGCATTCATTTAGTAAAACTAGAGGACCACAGAGATAATGACTACATTTTATAAGAATGTCAAGTGGAAGCAAACCCTGGAGAAACCATATCAGCGAGAACACAGTAATAGTCTAAACGTGGGCAGCTTATGCTCAATATTAAATACTTTAACCAGTAGAGAAATAAATCTCTGGAAGGGCCTTTTAACAGTACCAGTGGAAGCAAAATAGCTAGCTAACTGTGAGCACGCTAAGGTTATGAAAGGGTCTGCATGATACGGTTTCCTGCGATAGCCCAAGAATAGCCCCGGGTGCCCTAGGAGGTCATTTCCAGCCGTGTGTTCACACAGCCTGGTTTCTAGCAGAGGTACTGCTTCGTTTCCCCTCACAGCACCAATCCCAGCCACTTCATACAGCCTACAACAACTCCAGCAGAAACCACACACTGTAACATAGGTCTGGTGTTGTAAACCGCCTGCAGAGCAAGGGCTTAGAGAAGCAGAGGGATGCCAGAGTCGCACCGTTAATAGCCAGAGAGCCAGGGAACCAAGCCCGCTAGCCCCCACCTGCGACAACAGGTTTCCCTTCAGAGAGAAGGTGTTCTGGTGAAACACTGGCACTGTAACCAGACCGAAGCCTTCTACCGAACCATCCCTGAACCTTCTTCTGCATTACCTCACCCCGTTTTAACATACGTCTTCTCCCCACTGCCTCTTCCTGTCTGATTTTTGTGGCAATACTTCAATTCTATGTTTGTGCAGTTTTCACTGACCGCTGCGAGAACACCTATGATGTCAGGCTTTAGGTTGCAAAGCCATACAGGAGGAGCAGGGAGGCTAGAAGAAACACTTTCTATATAGAAATATTTTGCCAGCTGCAACAGGAAAACAATACATGGAAGTAGCAGCTTAATGGGACCCAAGCAAAACACTGAGGCTTTTTGAACCTTTCTCAAACCTTTCATTTCTGAAGGGCTTGATTCAAAGTCTCCTGAAAGCCAAGCAGTTATTTGTATGACTCGCATACTGGGATCACCCTGGAGCACCTTTCCTGGAGCAGGGTTTTACAGTGTCAAGTGTCACGTGCCAGAGCAAAGAGCCTGTGTCACAGTGAACTTATGTTCCACGACATGTTTTCCGCGATGAGGATATGGGTCTAGTGACTTAAACCCATCAAATTTAGCAACCAATCCACTACTTCGATTTCTGACACAGATTATCACCGATACCCAACCTTTTCTTCTCCTAACCCACTGCCGTGCTCGCTACCACTGTTTGTAGACACAACTTCCTCAGTATACGTATGTTTTGACAAAGGCGGAGCAAAGATATGGTGCGCTCTAGAACCGATGTACAAACACAACGAAAGGGAAACTGTAGTGTGAATTTCATGTTAGCAAGTAGTGCCATGAGTTGAATCGTAGAACATCTCTACTGGTATTCCTGAGTCTTATTCTGAAAATGTTGCCTCAGAAGAGTGTAATCAAACATTGCTACTCTGGTATCAAGCCAACAGCTGCCCACTGTAAAACAGCAGCTTCTAGCTATATCTAGGACTTTCATGAGGCTGCGTCATCATCTTAAGAACCTAATTGATTAGATATAAATATTTTCATTGTTTCCTGTCCTCTAATTTGCTTCAAAATGACACATTTTACTGAACAGATCATCTCATAAGCCAAGAAGGCAGACACACAGAAGAAAGAAGTTGTTTTAGGTTGTTCAACAGCTATAGCTTTGTTTTGAAACACAAATAAAATATATACATACCGTACCACCAAAAGAGAAAAGGTAGAAAACCTCTAATGAGGTCATTATCCCCCAGAGAGCAAAAGGGACTCTTCCCTTTCAAGCTCTAAGCCACAAAGGCAGAAGATGAAGCTTTGTCTCATTCTAGCGACTGGTCACCCACAAGGTTTGGGAATCAGTTCACACTTCCACACAGGATACACGCACGTGGACAGGTGAAGGCAGGCAGGTGCCTCTGCCTGCAATGATCCTGAAATCTCAAGAGCCTGAAGCGGGTGCAGGCACTTCTGCACCGGCTCAGCAGCATTTACGAGCTCTGACGCATTTATCTGCTGCTTCGAGACACGTGCTGGGGCACGGATGTGTCCTACACAGGCAAATGGATTGCTGGATCCGATAACCACAAGGCAGGAGCCTTTACCCTTCAACACATCTTCATGCCCTACGTGTGCTCCAAGGGATTTAGACTCAAATTTTGCATATCCAGAACATAGCCCTACTTTTAATTAAACCCTTACTGACTTTTGGAAAAGCTCTTTAGGCTCTTCAGTCTTAGCCTCCAGTGCTGGGCAGGGCAGCAACTATGCTTTAAAAAAAAAAAAAAAAAAAATCTGTCTCTTCAAGTTGTCAGACAAGGAGGGTAGACCAATGTCTCTAGTCTGCACAGATCAAATTTGGAGCGCATGATTGCTTCATATGCAGTTGATTATGCCATGCAGCATTTTGGCCATTAGGATACAGTTCCACCCTGACTGCCAACAAAGCGTTTCTACATGCCTGATACACCCTGGGA